TTTCATATGGCAAAGGTATTATACCGTACTCCCGACATAGATACTTGCTAAAAGCCCAGACAGGTGTTTCGCCGATATTCTGCCGCTGCGTGACACAGCTGCGAGGGGTTCGGCTCTTAAGTGGGACCCCCAGCGTTCTCTAGCGGTTTCTGGTATATGAACCCCAGAGAATAATCAGGTGATTAATTACAGAAATTACTCAGTGCAGGACTTGGAGTTAAATCTCCGGGACATGACTTTTTAGGGTCAGAACCGAAATTTCAATGAACATTTGAGTCGAAGACAATCAACTACTGTGGAATAACCAAGTAATGCCCATTCTACAAACAAGTAGTACTACGAGTAGTATGAATTTCATATGGTAAAGGTATTATACCGTACTCCCGACATAGATACTTGCTAAAAGCCCAGACACGTGTTTCGCCGATATTCTGGAGTTCATATACCAGGAACCGCTAGAGAACGCTGGGGGTCCCACTTAAGAGCCGAACCCCTCGCAGCTGTGTCACGCAGCGGCAGAATATCGGCGAAACACGTGTCTGGGCTTTTAGCAAGTATCTATGTCGGGAGTACGGTATAATACCTTTAATATATGTATATATGGACTTGCGTAAGCGGATAATATAGGGCCCGTAGTTTGAAACCTGGAATGCGAGCGTAACAACAGTTCGGGTTGAGCATTATTCGAAAATGGAAAAGATTCGTATAAAAAAATGGAAGAAGACGCAATTTTCTACTAAATGTGCGAGAGAATAAACATTGTAATACACTAAAACGACCCATTAAAAGCCCATTTATATGGCAGTGGCAAGCATCTCTCGATATTTTCTGCGGGTCTCCTTAGCCAGAACATGCTGGACTTTGACCTTCACTTTCAAATCCTGCAATAGTATTATTTTATTGTAAACAATGCATTAAAGATTGTTGAATTACTAAGCATTCTGATGTAATCAATCCATCATTCTAGAAAAGCGTTTATCTCATTTGTTGACGTCCTGTTCGAAGCAACATGTCCCTGTACGAATTTTTAGCAAACATGCGCAGCAGAAATTATGCAACCCAACACACTTTGCGGCGGCTTATTAACTGCACCTTGTCACTTCAATCCAGTTTTTTCGAGGGAAAGAAAAACGAATGAAAAATATACAAATATGTATACATCCACAAAGAAATTTATTACAAAACAGTAAGATAATGATAGAAAAACGGGAAACTCAAGGGGATGTTAAAACCAAGGTCAAGCGTAGGTGGTCGTTCGAGATGGTCATACGTGGACTGAAATTTCCACAAGAGCACACCGCGTATTGTACATTTTCAGAAAGACAGCGATTCGGAAAGTCAGTAAATTTGATAATCCTCTTGTCCGTATGTAAACAACGGATTAAGTCAAGAGTTTTGCAGTTATCGTCGGTGGTTTTGGATGACTGACCTCTCTCTTTTGGCTACGTCTACGCATTTACAAACAAATGCGAGACAGTTTATAAGGATAAATCTGAACATGGATCATTAATTCGTGGCCTTCTGAACCGAAGTGGACAACCCCCGATCCTTTGCTAACCACGGGTAGGTTTCGACTACAACATATGTGTCAACAAATGACAAGTAGGGGCCCAAAAACTCCGACTGAAGTGAGATCATCATGATAATACATGCATGCACATTGGAGTAAATAATGTAAGCCCAATCTCGGTCTTCATCTCTTTGGAGTTTTCATTGAAAGCACAGTGTAACTTTTTAAGTTATCAATAATTTGGCAGTTTAAGTTAGTTAGAAGTTCCTTTTCGAAGTGTTTAATGTACGCAATTATATTTCGACTTCTACCACTACGCAGCCGTCCGTATGGATTTGATGTCGTTGTTTAGATATCTGAATTGTATTGCCCAAAAGGCAGTTGTAGGTTGAAGACCAGACGTGAAAGCTTTTTGCTTTCATCATTTTCGCATTTTAGAATTTTGTCTTAATAAATGCTCCATTATTCGACAGAACGCAAATTCTGGGCCGTAACTGAAAGAAAAAATGTTCTCTTCGCCACAATGCATCAAGCTCTTGTGTTAAAACTTCTAGTGGACACGATTATGTAGCTGAGTTGGGAAAAGCGATGAGCAAAAATGTAATCTCAAGTTAACTTTTACGTAGTAGCTTAGCGGAGTTTAGATGGGCAAAGTAACTTTAACATACACAAGCTGCGCATAAATTGAAATCGTATGTATCTAATTTCTATCGATTCTTGATGTCTGTATTAACTTGCGTCGCGTGAGCACAGGTGACTTGGTCCGTCAATGGTACTTCAGATGGTCTGGCCCAAAATGTCTACGGGACTTGAGTGAGTGTTAGGTTCACAGATATTACACGGTAAATTAGACCCCATCGAAATTGAACGCGATGGCATATCTGGTTCTGAGGAGTCTGAAAGCTCCTGTTTGACACTTTATTTAGTCTTCTGGTCATAGTACCGCCAGCACCACCGTAGTGGTCGACGAAGTCCATTCTGTGCTCCAAAGCAGGTTGATAACACAGACGGTCATTTGTGCGTGATGATACTTTTCATAAAAATAGTATAATTTAGCCACATCTGTCTCACTCTTGC